TGAATTTTTTTTTGCTTGCACTCTAAACAAAACAGAATATATATTGCCCAGTTAACAAATAAAGTGAGATTTTTACACTATATACTAAAGAAACTATTTCACGTTTAATAGGAGAATATCAAAGATAAACTACGGCCCATTCCTGTATCGGTTGGTGTTAAAATCAGTGGCAGCTCGGAATCCAGTTTACCATCTAAGAAAAGACAAGGAAGGTCACTTCCTGATCTTGTTCCAATTCTAAATTCAAATGAACCAGAAACAGTGAACTCAGAAGTAAGTCTGTTCTTGACTCTATCTTTGGAAGATGATGCGAAGTGGATTGTTAAGACAACCAAACTTCACAATTTGTATGACAGAAGAGTGGAGAGGTTGGGTTATTTGCATGGGTAATTGGTTCCAATATACTCTTTAGAATTAAGCTCCAAGTCAAGAGAGAGAGAGAGAGCATGAGCGCGCTCATGGATATCACATGCACTTGTATTGGAAGTCGCTAAATTAAAGGCTGTAAAAAACTAAGCTATGACCAAAGAGAAATAAGTGAGGAGACACATGACATACAATTAATTTATACCCTCACGTGTGGGATGTCACCAATGAAAACTGATCAAGTTGTCTCATTCTTGTGAATGCGTGTCCCGCTTCACAAGTGCATTATGCAATTAATGTTTACAGGGTCAGGGTGTCCTTGAACAATTTCCTCTAGAAATTGGGGTATGTCTACATTTTGAACCAGAGATATAATTTCCAGTTTGAGAACACATAGCTAACTTAGTTCCCATTAAAGCACTGAGCAGGAGAGGCACATATCACTTTGAAACAGTTGGCCCCAAAATGTCCCAGTTTTTGTATTTGTGTGACACAACACTTTTACTTAGCAGCAATGATACACATCTTCAGAAAAGCAATAGTATCCCCATCTCCTTACAGCTGAAAAGATGAAGTCAGACTAAGGCCTTGTCTCCACAAGGAAGAGAGTGTGAAGTGTCTATGGATTTGAATTGCAGCATATATCAGCAGATGTTTGGATTTTTAACATAGATTTTAGAATTGTTGTATGTCCTAAGGTAAACTGACTTTTAGCTTTTATATAGGTGCAGTTCTTAAAAGAAGGATGTGGAGCAGATAACATATGTAATAGCAACCTAATACTTCAATACAGATTCCTTACCAAAGAAGGAGACAGATTTTCATATTTGCCAATGTAAGATTTAATTTATACTTTAGCAAAAATGACTGCATTTGGGTGGATGTTTGGCAGGGACATATTATTTTCCCCAATGTGTGAGTCTTGTTTCATTTTGTTTCCATAGTGAGAATAATGTTCCAGTGCTTGTCCTCAAAGATCAGAAGGAAATTGCACTAGAAATAATGGTGGCAAATAATCCATCAGATGCAAAAAATCCCCAAAAAGATGGTGAAGATGCCCATGAAGCTAAACTAGTTGCAACTTTTCCAGATAGTTTGACCTACTCTTCTTTCAGAGAACTGAGGGCTTATCCTGTAAGTGTTATAGAAAACCAGGACAGAGGTATATTTCATATATTTAAATACTTATTGTGTTTTGACTTCTGAATATCTTTAATTCAGGAAAAACAATTGACCTGTGGTGCCAATCAAAATGGTTCTCAAGCAGAATGTGAACTTGGAAATCCTTTTAAGAGAAATTCCAATGTAGGTGGCTTGTTTTTTCTCTTTTTATTAGATGGGTCTAATATATAAAGTTAGATTATGGAGCTAGACTGGAACTTGCCCTGAGTTCAGGGGGTATTTATGTGTTGGGGTTTGGTTTGGGGGTCTATCCTAGTTTTAACATCTCAGAATTCCGTGACTTTTTTTTTAATATAAAACAAAATGTGTGCTTACAAAAATATATTATCACATCATATTGTGTGGATTTTTTTCCTGTTTAGGTAACCTTTTATCTAATTTTAAGTACAACCAAAGTTAACGTTGACACAACTAACTTGGATGTTAATCTGCAGTTGGAAACGTAAGATTTTTTTGTCATTGTTACTTTTCTCATGGTATTTTCACATATACTTGTAAACCTTAAAGAATGGCTTCAATTTGTTTTGTAAAGGCAATTTTATTATAATGTGAAAACTTAAAATTTAAAATAAACATTGCCATTTCATTTTCATTATAGAACAAGTAATCAAGTTAATTTGGCTCCAATTACTGCTACCGCTAAAGTGGTTATTGAATTGCTTTTGTCACTCACTGGGTAAGTGTTTATAGTTACCATAACTAATCAATGTGAGAATGATCCCTTTTCTACAACCCATACTAAAACTTAATCTGTTTTTTTTTTTAAATTAAACAGAGTTGCTAAGCCTTCCCAGATATACTTTGGAGGTAATGTCATCGGAGAGAGTGCTATGAAGTCAGAAGATGATGTTGGAAATATAATAGAATATCAATTCAGAGTGAGTTGATCTATTAAGAAATCATTAATTTTTTTTCCCTGACACTCATGGAATATTTTAAAAATCTGGCTGATTTGAAGCTGACCACCTTAGCACCCAAATGACCACCATTAAACACCTCCTACTCCTTTCCACAACAAACAACCTGACTGGTCTGTCAAGACTTGGGCTTCACCCAGTCTTGAAAGTTCAGGGTCACACTTTCAGAAAACATTTTCTAATTTGTTTGTGTGCTATCCCCTGAACCTACACTTTTCCAGCATAAACATCCTTGCCTACAGGTAACAAAACTTTACATACACAAACCTAACAATGGTATGCCCAGTGTTAGAGCTCAGAAAGTGTGTGCAGATATTTGTGCACATAAAACTGAACATCCACAAACAAGCTGTGCTGTATCCCTTTTTGATAATGTGGCCCTATGAGCTCACCTGCTTGGCCTTCCGCCTTTTAATTACTAAGAGAAGGCTCTCATATCCATTTGTCTCAAATGGTCTGTAAGTTGTGGCAATGTAAATTTTTGCTCCATGTATTTCTCTCCATACACACACACACATGTGGTCCACGCTTTTCAGTATAGTCTATTCCCTCCCTCCCACCCCCTCAAAATTGGCTGCTCTTGCACCTGAATCACCTCCTTGTTCCCTACCTCTAAAACACATCCTGACTGGATGTGCGTTTTATAGCTGGAATCCTGGCCCTCCCTCCTCATGCTCTCAGTGGTCTCATGAAGAGGTTATTAATTTGGGCATTTGTGGCCTCTATCAGAAGCTTGGAATGAAGGTTTTCAGGGGAAGAAAAAAGGGACATGTCTCAAGTTCAGAAGAACCTAGATCTCTTTTATAATTCACATGCTTGCCTTTGGCTCCTGAAAATTTCCTTCTGCAGCTGTTTTAAATATACCTGATACAGTAATTTAGAATACTTGGTGGTGTTTGTAATTTATTTGCTCAGTGACAACAAAGCTCTAGATATTGCAGCATTGCACTCCAACTAAAAACCACCTACCATACTTGTTAGAGCAAGATGGAGAGAAGTATCATTCTGTGGCACCAGATGTTTCCTGGTAGTTGTATCCTGCTTGCTATAACAGAGCACGTTTTTGCGTCGGTTAAAAGGTTCTGGCTCCTGTTGCTGTCGACAGAAGAATTATTTTCAGACACTACTGGCCTAGAGAGCTGGCATTCCAGCCTTGAAAACATTGTAATACTAAATATGTATGCTATCACCCAGACCGAATCTTTATTGTACCACCTTTGTATTCTGTTTGTACTTCATAGATGATAGAACTTTTACATAAAATTTCAGAAAATCTAGTTTCCCCTGATTTTGTAGTACAAAATTGTATGCTAGATCATCCAGAATATTATGTATGATGATTTCTAGAATTTGGAAGGTTTGCTACCTTTTATTTCCATTCAAAAGTTGTTTGGCAAATCCAAATATATGGTATCTTCAGAATTTGTTCTTTCCTGTGACTTTTCTTAATGCCAGAAAAACAGTATTCTTTGTCCTTTTAGTGCAGCTTTATAGCTGTAAATTCAAGTTTATAAGAGAATTAATGGAATTTCTTTTCCTAATAGGTAACTAACTTGGGTAGACCACTTAAAACATTTGGCACAGCATCTTTGAACATCCAGTGGCCAAAAGAAATCAGCAATGGGAAATGGCTGCTTTATTTGATGAAAATAGACTCGAAAGAATTGGGGGAAATCCCTTGTCAACCTCAAAAAGAAATAAACTCATTGAACCTTACGGTATGTTAATGCACTTTCATCTGATTAATGTTACATGAGCTTGCTTATAAAGTTCAACAAGGGGTTTGTTAGTAGGATACTGGTGCCTGCCTTAAAATGAGCTTTGTATCTTCAGTGACCTGAGAAGTGCATCAATATCCTATGCTAATACGCACCCTGCCAGAGCTATCAGACAATGGCGCCTTCATTTTACATTTAAAAGCAAGGCCATTTTAAAACCTAATTTGTATTTTAATAAAGTAGTGACTTCTTCCATGATGGAAAACTAGTTAATGGTGAAGGAATAAGTAAAAGAGGGCAACTATTGAATTCCCCTTTCAAAAATTAGTTTTTAAGCGTGCTTAGATTGCTTGAACTTCTTTTTCCGTATCCTCTTGAACTCAGTTGACCTTTTACCAGAAGCCAGATTTATCTCTGTCTCACTTTCTGCTAAAAATTAAACCATCAAGCTTGCAGCCCTTCTGGAAAAATTCTTTTTGCGTTCAGAGAAGATTTGGGGTTGGTACTTTTAGTTAGATTTTTGAAGAGGGCCACTAAGTGCTGCCTGAAAGAGCTGGGATCCTGAAGGAAAGGGAACAGTATTTGAAGTTGTGAGATTCTTCTCTCTGCCTCTCTGCTGTCCACCATCTTTTCACCCTCTCCAATAGCAAGCTTCAACTGAAGAACTGCCCCTCTGCTCCTCAGAGTCTGTATATTTGCCAGGCTGTAGCAGAAGCCAGTGAGGAGAGCCAGGATCAGTGCTTTAAAGAGAACAGCCCCAAGAACAAAGAGTAGGCAATAATAAACATCTGACCAGATCCTGTGAGCCCTTTGCACATATGCTTGTGTTGAATTCTGTAAGGGTTCCATCTGGAGGACAGTGCAGGATTAAGCCCATTTTCTTTTCCTTTAAGTGTCTATAAACCACAACTAAAAGGACTTTTAAAGGTAGGTATCTAAATAATCTTTTCACTATTCCATTAGAAAGGAATGCATAACTCATGCTTTGTTTTGTACTTGTAATGTACTTCTAAAGTGTGTGCACCAAATTCTGTACTCATTGATATTCTTGCATTTTAAACATACTATATGTGTAATGAGTATAACTGAGCTGAATTTGTCCAAGGGACAGATGTGGATGTTTTTCTTTTTAAATACATGACCTGACTTTCCACACATACTACATTCATATGCTTCCACTAAACAATGTGAACTCTGCAGGTTTTGTAAAAATTTGCAAGTTTCCCATTGAAACTTAATAACTTGTAATATGCGCGCGCGCACACATACACGTCTAAAAGCTGAAGCTTTGCTAGATTGGTGAACTAATGAAGTGTGGGACATAGAATCATAGAATACTAGGAATGGAAGGGACCTCGAGAGGTCATCAAGTCCAGTCCCCTGCCCTCATGGCAGGACCAAATACTGTCTAGACCATCCCTGATAGACATTTATCTAACCTACTCTTAAATATCTCCACAGATGGAGATTCCACAACCAACCTAAACCTCCCTTGCTGCAGTTTAAGCCCATTGCTTCTTGTTCTAGCCCCAGAGGCCAAGATGAACAAGTTTTCTCCCTCTTCCTTATGACACCCTTTTAGATATCTGCGAACTGCTATGATGTCCCCCCTCAATCTTCTCTTTTCTAAACTAAAGAAACCCAGTTCCTTCAGCCTTCCCTCATAGGTCATGTTGTCTAGACCAGTGGTCCCCAATGTGGCGCCCGCGGGCGCCATGGCGCCCGCCAGGCCATTTCTGTGCACCCGCAGAGTGATCGGGGACAGCCCCGCCCCCTGGCGCGTGGTGCATGGGCAGTGCCGGCCCCTGGATGCACACCGTATAGGTGGCCCCGCCCCCGGGTACATGGCGGAAGGACTGTGCCAGCCCCAGGAGCGTGGAGTATGGGCGGCCCTGGCCCCTGGGTGTGTGGCATATGGGCGATGCCAGCCCCGGGCACGGAGTGTATGGGTGTCCCCGCTCCTGGGTCCGCAGCGCAGGAGCGGCACTGGCCCCAGGCGTGCAGTGCGTGGGTGATGCCAGCTCCTGGGCGTGTGGCACAGGAGCGGCACCAGCCCCGGGAGTGCAGCGCATGGGTGGCACCAGGACTGGGCATGCAGCGTATGGGTGGCCCTGCCCTGGGGCGTGTGTGCAGCCCTGCTCTCGAGTGCGTGCGCAGCTCCATCCCCAAGCACGTGAGTGGCCCCGCCCCCGGGCACCCCGCAGCCCTAAAAGGTTGGGGACCATTGCTCTATATCTTTAATCATTCTCGTTGCTCTTCTCTGGACCTTCTCCAATTTCTCCACATCTTTCTTGAAATGCAGTGCCCAGAACTGAACACAATACTCCAATTGACGACTAACCAGCACCGAATAGAGCAGAAGAATGACTTCTCGTGTCTTGCTCACGATACACCTGTTAATGCATCCCAGAATCATGTTTGTTTTCTTTGCAACAGCATCACACTGCTGACTTATATTCAACTTGTGGTCCACTATAACCCCTAGATCCCTTTCTACCGTACTCCTTCCCAGGCAGTTGCTTCCCATTCTGTATGTACAAAATTGATTGTTCCTTCCTAAGTGGAGCGCTTTGCATTTGTCTTTATTAAACTTCATCCTATTTACCTCATATTAAACTTCATCCTATTTACCTCAGACCATTTCTCCAGGTCATTTTTAATTATGACCCTATCCTCCGGATTAGTCGCAACCCCTCCCAGCTTGGAATCATCTGCAAACTTAATAAGCGTACTGTCAATACCAATATCTAAATCGTTGATGAAGATATTGACCAGAGCTACTTGTTATGCCTTTCCAGCAGGATTGTAAACCATTAATAACTACTCTCTGAGTACGGTTATCCTGCCAGTTATGCACCCACCTTATAGTAGCTCCATCTAAGTTGTATTTACCTAGTTTATTGATAAGAATATCATGCAAGACCACATCACATGCCTTACTAAAGTCTAAGTATACCACATCCACCGCTTCTCCCTTATCCACAAGACTTGTTATCCTATCAAAGAAAGCTATCAGATTGGTTTGACATGATTTGTTCTTTACAAATCCATGCTGGCTGCTCCCTCTCACTTTGCCACTTTCCAAGTGTTTGCAGATAGTTTCCTTAATTAATTGCTCCATTATCTTCCCTGGCACAGAAGTTAAACTAACTGGTCTGTAGTTTCCAGGGTTGTTCTTATTTCCCTTTTTATAGATGGGCACTATATTTGCCCTTTTACAATCCTCTGGAATCTCTCCTGTCTCCCATGATTTTTCAAAGATGATAGCTAAAGGCTCAGATACCTCCTCTATCAGTTCCTTGAGTATTCTAGGATACATTTCATCAGGCCCTGGTGACTTGCAGGCACCTAACTTTTCTAGGTGATTTTTAACTTGTTCTTTTTTTAATTTTACCTTCTAAATCTACCACCTTTCCTCTAGCATGCACTGTTAGGCATTCCTACAGACTTCTCGGTGAAAACCGAAACAAAAGTCATTGAGCATCTCTGCCATTTCCAAGCTTCCTGTTACTGTTTCTCCCTCCTCACTGACCAGTGAGCCTACCCTCTCCTTGGTCTTCCTCTTACTTCTAATGTATTTATAAAAAGTAGTCTTGTTTCCTTTTTCCCCGTAGCTAGTTTGAGCTCATTCTGTGCCTTTGCCTTTCTAATCTTGCCCCTGCATTCCTGTGCTGTTTGCCTATATTCATCCTTTGTAATTTGTCCTACTTTCCATTTTTAATATGACTCCTTTTTTATTTTTAGATCATGCAAGATCTCGTGGTTAAGCCAGGGTGGTCTTTTGCCATATTTTCTTTCTGACACATCGGAAAAGCTTGCTTTTGGGCCCTTAACAGTGTCCCTTTGAAAAACTGCCAACTCCCCTCAGTCTTGATTCCCATGGGACCTATCAGCTCTCTGAGCTTACCAAAATCCGCGTTCCTGAAATCCGTTGTCTCTATTTTGCTGTTCTCCCTTCTACCCTTCCTTAGAATTGTGAACTCTGTGATTTCATGATCACTTTCACCCAAGCTGCCTTCCACTTTCAAATTCTTATATTTCACTCAAGGAAGTTCAAGTATCATGGGACATACATCCTTTTCCTTTGACCAAGACCACGTGGAAGACTTTGAATAATGTAGCACACAAGATAGAATCTGAATTTTCTTGGCTAACCTAGTGAGGAGGTCTTAAAACTAGGTTCAACGGGGACAGGTGACCAAAGCCCACAGGTAAGTGAAGAACATGGAGACCTGGGAGATGGGTCAGAAATGGGAGGGAGTGTGGGCTATAATAGCAGAGAGAAAGGAGGGACAAGGCAGAATTGGGAGGCAAGATCAAATCAGTATCTTAGATGACTATCAAGAATCAGAGGGGTAGCCGTGTTAGTCTGAATCTGGGTCTTTGCCCACAAAAGCTTATGCTCCTACACTCCAGTTAGTCTTTAAGGTGCCACAGGACTCCTCATCGCTTTTAGATGACTATATACAAATTCAAGAAGTATGGGTAATAAGCAGGAAGAACTGGAAGTGCTAATAAATAAATACAACTATGACATTGTTGGCATCACAAAGACTTGGTTGGATAATACACATGATCGGAATATAGGTATAAAAGGGTACAGCTTACTCAGGAAGGACAGGCGGGTAAAAAGGGAGGAGGTATTGCCTTATATATTAAAAATGTACACACTTGGACTGAGATGTAGATGAACATAGGAGATAGGCGTGTTGAGAGTCTCTAGGCTAAAAGGGGTAGAAAACAAGGGTGATGTCATGATAGAGGTCTACTACAGGCCACCTACCCAAGCGGAAGAGGTGGATGAGGCTTTTTTTAAACAACTAACAAAATCATCCGAAGCACACGATTTGGTGGTGATGGGGGATTTCAACTATCCAGATATCATAGAATCATAGAATACTAGGACTGGAAGGGACCTCAAGAGTCATCAAGTCCAGTCCCATGCCCTCATGGCAGGACCAAATACTGTCTAGACCATCCCTGATAGACATTTATCTAACCTACTCTTAAATATCTCCACAGATGCAGATTCCACAACCTCCCTGGGTAATTTATTCCAGTGTTTGACTACCCTGACAGGAACTTTTTTCTAATGTCCAACCTAAACCTCCCTTGCTGCAGTTTAAGCCCATTGCTTCTTGTTCTAGCCCCAGAGGCCAAGATGAACAAGTTTTCTCCCTCTTCCTTATGACACCCTTTTAGATATCTGCGAACTGCTATGATGTCCCCCCTCAATCTTCTCTTTTCTAAACTAAAGAAACCCAGTTCCTTCAGCCTTCCCTCATAGGTCATGTTGTCTAGACCAGTGGTCCCCAATGTGGTGCCCGTGGGCGCCATGGCGCCCGCCAGGCCATTTCTGTGCACCCGCAGAGTGATCGGGGACAGCCCCGCCCCCTGGCGCGTGGTGCATGGGCAGTGCCGGCCCCTGGATGCACACCGTATAGGTGGCCCCGCCCCCGGGTACATGGCGGAAGGACTGTGCCAGCCCCAGGAGCGTGGAGTATGGGCGGCCCTGGCCCCTGGGTGTGTGGCATATGGGCGATGCCAGCCCCGGGCACGGAGTGTATGGGTGTCCCCGCTCCTGGGTCCGCAGCGCAGGAGCGGCACTGGCCCCAGGCGTGCAGTGCGTGGGTGATGCCAGCTCCTGGGCGTGTGGCACAGGAGCGGCACCAGCCCCGGGAGTGCAGCGCATGGGTGGCACCAGGACTGGGCATGCAGCGTATGGGTGGCCCTGCCCTGGGGCGTGTGTGCAGCCCTGCTCTCGAGTGCGTGCGCAGCTCCATCCCCAAGCACGTGAGTGGCCCCGCCCCCGGGCACCCCGCAGCCCTAAAAGGTTGGGGACCATTGCTCTATATCTTTAATCATTCTCGTTGCTCTTCTCTGGACCTTCTCCAATTTCTCCACATCTTTCTTGAAATGCAGTGCCCAGAACTGAACACAATACTCCAATTGACGACTAACCAGCACCGAATAGAGCAGAAGAATGACTTCTCGTGTCTTGCTCACGATACACCTGTTAATGCATCCCAGAATCATGTTTGTTTTCTTTGCAACAGCATCACACTGCTGACTTATATTCAACTTGTGGTCCACTATAACCCCTAGATCCCTTTCTACCGTACTCCTTCCCAGGCAGTTGCTTCCCATTCTGTATGTACAAAATTGATTGTTCCTTCCTAAGTGGAGCGCTTTGCATTTGTCTTTATTAAACTTCATCCTATTTACCTCATATTAAACTTCATCCTATTTACCTCAGACCATTTCTCCAGGTCATTTTTAATTATGACCCTATCCTCCGGATTAGTCGCAACCCCTCCCAGCTTGGAATCATCTGCAAACTTAATAAGCGTACTGTCAATACCAATATCTAAATCGTTGATGAAGATATTGACCAGAGCTGGTTCCAAAACAGACCCCTGCGGAATCCCACTTGTTATGCCTTTCCAGCAGGATTGTGAACCATTAATAACTACTCTCTGAGTACGGTTATCCTGCCAGTTATGCACCCACCTTATAGTAGCTCCATCTAAGTTGTATTTACCTAGTTTATTGATAAGAATATCATGCAAGACCACATCACATGCCTTACTAAAGTCTAAGTATACCACATCCACCGCTTCTCCCTTATCCACAAGACTTGTTATCCTATCAAAGAAAGCTATCAGATTGGTTTGACATGATTTGTTCTTTACAAATCCATGCTGGCTGCTCCCTCTCACTTTGCCACTTTCCAAGTGTTTGCAGATAGTTTCCTTAATTAATTGCTCCATTATCTTCCCTGGCACAGAAGTTAAACTAACTGGTCTGTAGTTTCCAGGGTTGTTCTTATTTCCCTTTTTATAGATGGGCACTATATTTGCCCTTTTACAATCCTCTGGAATCTCTCCTGTCTCCCATGATTTTTCAAAGATGATAGCTAAAGGCTCAGATACCTCCTCTATCAGTTCCTTGAGTATTCTAGGATACATTTCATCAGGCCCTGGTGACTTGCAGGCACCTAACTTTTCTAGGTGATTTTTAACTTGTTCTTTTTTTAATTTTACCTTCTAAATCTACCACCTTTCCTCTAGCATGCACTGTTAGGCATTCCTACAGACTTCTCGGTGAAAACCGAAACAAAAGTCATTGAGCATCTCTGCCATTTCCAAGCTTCCTGTTACTGTTTCTCCCTCCTCACTGACCAGTGAGCCTACCCTCTCCTTGGTCTTCCTCTTACTTCTAATGTATTTATAAAAAGTAGTCTTGTTTCCTTTTTCCCCGTAGCTAGTTTGAGCTCATTCTGTGCCTTTGCCTTTCTAATCTTGCCCCTGCATTCCTGTGCTGTTTGCCTATATTCATCCTTTGTAATTTGTCCTACTTTCCATTTTTTATATGACTCCTTTTTTATTTTTAGATCATGCAAGATCTCGTGGTTAAGCCAGGGTGGTCTTTTGCCATATTTTCTTTCTGACACATCGGAAAAGCTTGCTTTTGGGCCCTTAACAGTGTCCCTTTGAAAAACTGCCAACTCCCCTCAGTCTTGATTCCCATGGGACCTATCAGCTCTCTGAGCTTACCAAAATCCGCGTTCCTGAAATCCGTTGTCTCTATTTTGCTGTTCTCCCTTCTACCCTTCCTTAGAATTGTGAACTCTGTGATTTCATGATCACTTTCACCCAAGCTGCCTTCCACTTTCAAATTCTCAACCAGTTCCTCCCTATTTGTTAGGATCAAATCTAGAACAGCTCCCGCCCTGGTAGCTTTTGCAACCTTCTGAAATAAAAAGTTGTCTCCAATGCAGTCCAAGAACTTATTGGATAGTCTGTGCCCCGCAGTGTTATTTTTCCAACACATATCTGGATAGTTGAAGTCCCCCATTACTATCAAATTTTTCCCCCATCACCACCAAATCTTGGGCTTTGGATGATTTTGTTAGTTGTTTAAAAAAAGCCTCATCCACTTCTTCCACCTAGGTAGGTAGCCTGTAGTAGACTCCTAGCATGACATCACCTTTGTTTTTAATCCCTTTTAGCCTAACCCAGAGACTCTCAACACTTCCGTCTCCTATGTCCATCTCCACCTCACTCCAAGTGTGTTCATTTTTAATGTATAAGGCAACACCTCCTCCCTTTCTTCCCTGTGTATCTTTCCTGAGCAAGCTGTACCTTCTATACAAACATTTCAATCGTGTATTATCCCACCAAGTTTCTGTGATGCCAAAAATGTCATAATTGTACTTATTTATTCCAGTTCTGCTTATTTCCCATACTTCTCGCATTTGTATATAGGCATTTAAGATCCTGATATGACCTTGCCTCCCAGTTTTGCCCTGACCCTCCTATTGCTCTGCCATTGTAGTCCACGCTCCCTCCCATTTCCGACCCATCTCCCAGGTCTCCATGTTCTCCACTTACCTCTGGGCTTTGCTCACCTGTCCCCGTCGAATCTAGTTTAAAGCCCTCCTAACTAGGTTAGCCATTCTGTGTCCAGAATGTCTATTGTACATACTCAGGCTATGTCTACACTGCAGAGCAGTATCCTGGAAAAGCTATTCCACGTCCAAGGAATGCGTCCGCTTTTTCGGCATCCTTGTATTCCTCATTGCATGAGGAATAAGGGATGTTCTGGAAGAGGAGGGTTTTCTGGAGAAAAAAAAAGTGGAAAAAATATGCAAATTGCATATCTTTTTCTGACTTTTCTTTGCAGTTGAGACATAGCCTTCATAAACAAATTTAACAAGAGCATATCTGCCTACATTGGAATATGTACAAAGAAGTTATTGTGTGTTTGTCTTTGGTATATTAAAGAGACAAGGTAGGTGAAATAATATCTTTTATTGGACCAACGTTAGAATTAGACCAACTTTAGAACAGGGTTTTTTCCTTATAAATAGAGTAAGAATAGCACATACTCACTTGTTAGCATGTTAAAAAATGAAATGGCTTTGAAGCCACTTGGCAAGTGAAACACTTGCCTTCACTGCCCTCCAATTTTGTTTAGATCACTTTTTAAAGTTACAGCTTAAATCCTGTGCTAGCTGCATTCAGTATTAGCAGGCATTCATGGAAATACTGTCTCTGGCAACAGTGCTCAGGATCAGAGATCTTCAGAAAAAACTTCTTCCGAAATAAGAGCATCCACACTACCAAAGCACATCAAAAAAGCAATCTGCTTTTACGAAAGATAGCGTCCACACTGAATGGACGCTATCTCACATTTAAGCTATGATTACTATGGACTTAAAATGGCACTTTTTCAGAAAAAACTCTGAAGTGTAGACATAGCCTCAGATGTGGAATCCTGGCAGTCATGTAGCAGACACGTATATTTGCCTCACGTAACATCTGCACTACTCCTGCAGTCACTGTTCTTCTTTCATCTCTCTTATTTTTACTTGGAGGGTCAGGTTTAGGAAATACGCTAGTGATGTCAACAATTAATGGAGGAAGGAATGTTTTACACCGGGGCAAAATATCTTCAGATTTGACTATATTTATTTTTTAGCCTGCTTCTTGAAACTGAGGGCCTCTTCAAGTCCAGAAAAGAAAGCTTGTTTTTGCCCAAGCTATGTTTACAGTATATATAACCCTTGAAAACAGGGGGATTATATTATGGGAATTGCAACTGACACTAAGCAAGCCTCAGTTTTGGCTAATATCTCTATCCTTTAGTACTCAAATTGCTTTTTAACACCTGCAAGAAGCTAAATATTTAAGTGCCCAATATTCAAATAGCCTGTTGCACATTTCTTTTCTGTTTAGTAATCAATCCATTTCATGTAGTTTGCTTCTCAATATATAATTATTTGCTTTAAAGGCATCTCACAGCTCAAGGAGGAAACGTGAAGTTGCAGAGAAACAGACTACTGATGACAAAAAAATGTCTTTATTTCCAGAAAGAAAATATAAGATCCTGGTAAGCATTTCCATATGAAAACATTTACTCTTCTGCCTTTTTATATTACCTTTACTCCTACAGAACCTTTTTAGGTTTAGCAGGTGTATAAGTATTCCGTGGGGGTTTTTTATAACTTTGTTTTCTAATATTATTATTTTCTAAATCTGGTAAGTATATTAAAATAATTTCTAGGTAGCTATAAAAGAATAATTGAATACACTAGAAAAATTGAAAATTTAAATCTAGTGAGAGATTTAGTAAGCAATGTATCTAAGTAAGCACTTAGCTTTCCAAAATGAACTTTAAAAGGGAGCAGGATAAGTAATAAGAACAAAGTAAAGAAATTGTGCATAGGCTGACACCTACATATTAACAGATATTGGGATGGATATAGATTTAGTCAACCCATCTTGTTACCATTGAAATTAATAATAGTTTTGCCACTGAGTTCAACACATCAAGGAATTGGGGTTTGTAATGGGACCACACCTTGGCTGCGTCTAGGCTGGCAAGTTTTTCCGCAAAAGCGGCCACTTTTGCGGAAAATCTTGCCAGCTGTCTACACTGGCCACTTGAATTTGAGCAAGAACACTGATAATCTAATGTATGATCGCGCAAATACAATGATTTGCGCAAATACAATGACTCTCCCGCTCAGGAAAAAGCCCTCTTGCGCAAATGCTTTTGCACAAGAGGGCCAGTGTAGACAACTGAGAACCGTTTTGCGCAAAAAAGCCCCGATGGTGAAAATGGCGATCGGGGCTTTCTTGTGCAGAACCACGTCTAAATTGGCATGGATGCTTTTATGCAAAAAGTGCTTTTGCCTAAAAGCGCCCGTACCAATCTAGACGCTCTTTTCCACAAATGCTTTTAACGGAAAAACTTTTCCGTTAAAAGCATTTGCGGAAAATCATGCCAGTCTAGAAGCAGCCCTTGTGTTTACTGGTACATACAGCCTCCTGTTTCTTTGCTTCAGCTACTTTAACCCATCATGTTTGCAAATATATCAGGTATTCTTTTGTAAAATATGACTTTTGAAGTGCATGTGTGAATGTATATTTATTTAAATTACAGGACTGTAATGTGAATGCGCGCTGTGTGAATATAAAATGTCCCCTGCAAGGTTTGGACAGCAAGGCATTGGTTGTATTGCGTTCAAGATTGTGGAACAGTACTTTCCTGGAGGTATATTCTATTGCTATTCTTGAGGCATTGTGTACTCTCCTGTCTTTTCTCTTTTAATGTATCCATGTTATATTTTGAAACAGGAATACTCTAAGCTGAACTACCTAGACATTATTGTTAGGGCTACAATCAGTGTTCCTGCTGCAGCTGAAAACATTAAGCTCACAAATGAAGGTGCTCAAGTGAGTTTTCAAAATTTCTTTAAAATGGGTCATGTATGTTGGTGCTGTGGCATTACCTTTGTATATATGTGTTACTCTGGGGGTTGGAAGGAGGGAATCCTACACCACCATTCAAGTATAGAATTAATGTCTGTTGCAGATTTTACTCTTCCCCCTGCAGAATAATTGGTTTGCATGCTGCCCTCTGAGGTAGTGGTCCCAAGTGGGTACGTCAGGAGCAGCCAGGGAGATGTCAATCACTGCCTTGAGGGGTGGGACTTGGTGTGTCTGAGATACTATCGTTCTTGCCCACAATCCTGGTGCTGAGGACAGGCAGGGCTGGAAATGTCCTGGCTGGTGGCTCCTACCTTATGCTAGGGTCCAGCTGTTAGTGCCAACTAGTTAGAGACAGGACTTCCTCTTCCCTCAACTCAGGACCCGGCTGCAGGAAGCTATGTACACTTTCCTCTTCCTCCCCCCCTTTTATTGCCCCCCATTGCTCACCAGCCAACTTGTATGGGATTAATGTGCCAGTCTCCCATCACACCAAGCCCCATGCATTGACTGTACAGTGATGGGTTGGAGCCTTGGCTCTAGGACCTTGCAGCATGGGAGGGTCCCAGGACTCTGGCTCTAGGTTAGGCAATAATTTTTGATGGGGGAGGGAGGGGCCACTCCAACAATTTGGAAAGTGGTCAAGAGTCATACTCTTAATGGAGGAGGTGTGGGGTCTGGGATGGAGGTTGGGTGCGGAATGGAGCTTGCAGTAAGGGACTGGGGTGGAGGAGAGGGTCTGGGGTCTGGGAAGGAGTTTGGGTAAAAGAGGCAATTGTGACCTGTGTTGGGGACTAGAATATAGGAGGGGCTGGAGAGGTTTGGGTTGTGACCTGGGGCAGGGGATTAAGGTGCAGGAGCGTTGGCCAAGGGTTTGGGTTATGTGGGGCGAAGGGTTGGGATGCCAGAGGCTGAGAGACTTACCGCTTAACTCCTGACTAGCAGCCTTCTCAAGCAAACTCCCTGCCTGCCCCACCCCGCTTGCAGTTAGTTTTTGAACAGCTATTAGCCTGAGGGAAGTGGGGCAGGGTGCTTCACAAGTTGCCTGTTGACAACAGGCAGCTCCCATTGGCTGGAAACTAGCCAATGGGATTGTGTTGGAGGTGGGGGCAGCACATGAAACCTCTCCTCCCTCCCCCAGGCTTACAGCTCTTCAAACAGACCTAGTAACAGCCGCTTTTCTCAGCAGTGTGGGGCCAGACAGGGAGTCTGCCTGAGGCTCCCCTCTGCGTCTATGGGCCAGATCTGATGGCTTGGCGGGATGGATCTGGCCTGCCAAGGGTATTTTGCCCAAGCCTGGAATTCTGCACAACAGTGAAATGGCCCTACTGCCTGAGTCCTCAATGGGTTGGCACAGGCCAGTTGTGGAATTTTCTTTGCTGTGTAGTCACACCCTTAATTTTCTGTGCTTGACATGTATGGAAATATTAAATACCATCTGCTTACAGCCATACAGACATGCCTAGTAACATTTCCTGAATCTTTTTTAGTGTCTGCATTGTTACAGACATACTTGTTCACAAGTATTTTAAAATAAATCACCAAAATAATTGAAAATGGCATGATTATAGTATGTTATTTTGACAAATAAAACAGGCAGCATTTTAAAATAGTACACAAAATTTCCTCAGACGTAATGGACAAATTTTATAAAGTGAACATGCTAATCCAGAGCATCTCTCATCACTTTTGGTCCCATAGATCTTTCTGTTCCTTAGAGGCATTCTGCATAATATGAGAATAAACACTTCATTTAGCTAGATGTGGTCCCCGACATACTGCCTTTCCAGCTCCACAAGATGTTGAAAGCCATGGGTCCTAGCTTAGCAGGCTAGAAGCAAAGTTTTTTCTACTGTAAAACCTAGAGAGCTTTGTGGCTGCAGAAGCCGTAGGTGCTCAGTATGGAGAAAATATGCATGTTATTATTCTGCCTCCCTTACTGCAATATATCTAATTCTCTGCGTTTCTGAATGTATCATCAGTTTACATGCTGTGTGGATTATGGGGAGGAATAACGTAATTCCAGATCAATCCTAGATACTTTTTTCCCCCACCAAAGAAAAATTACTACTGAAGATCTAAGAAATAGTTTTTAGTTTGTGTTGCGTTGGAAGAGGGGGAAATAGTGACATTCCCCACATAGAAAAAACGCAGTCCCTCCCTTGAGTTGGGCAGGTTCATTTTTTTAACTCCTCTTTCCCCAACTTTCTCCAAAAATAATAGTTTTGGAGGGATTCCAGTGAATGTTTTAGTTTAACCTAGTCTTCCCCATACCCTCTTCTCATCTGCTGGTTCTTCTTTGGAATGGAGCTTTTAGCTAGGGAAGAGTTAAGTACTTCTGAGCTGTAGGCTTTACATGCTTTTGAACTTCCAGTGCCACACAGGATATTAAATCTCACATGAGTATGTCCCATGAAATCCCCACCATCATTCTCAAGAGTCAGGCAGATGCTGCTCATGAAAACTGGATGGTAAAAAATGTTTCAAGTAAATATAGAAGAGTTGTAGGAGACATGCTGTCTTCTTCAGCCTAGTGATTAGCCTCTCTAGTGTAGATGTGAGTTTTGGGTTAGAAATTAAGAACTTGTTAAATTTTCCATCCCCTATAGTTAAAACTTTTTATCTGCCTTAGGTGCGAGTTACAGTCTTTCCTGCAAAGACAGTAGCACTCTATACAGGAGTGCCTTGGTGGATCATCTTGGTGGCAATTCTTGCTGGAATACTGATGCTTGCACTGTTGGTGTTTTTACTATGGAAGGTGAGTTATTTTAAAATCATTCCTGTTTTTCAGGTACAGCTCAACATATGAAATAAGGCAGAAAACTAGCCAAGCAACGCCAAAAATGCATTTTCAAAATATTGCTCTAGGGTGGCCATGATCTACTTTAATCATTAAACAAGTTTCATTTCATGCTACCAGTAAAAATTACTGTTTTATTTGTCATCTTGGAAACTGACCAAATGTTGTATATTTCTTTGTAGCAAAAATTAATAGTAATTTTCATTTCTGCAACCTTTTTGCTGAAAATGCTGCGTGGAAATGTTTTTTATTGGAAATTTGAAAAACTCCTGAAAACATTTTGTTACCATTTATAAAAAGTTTGTATACAATATCTAATTTTGGGAATGTGTTATTTTACAATATAAAAAGTTTAATAACTGGATTGGTATATGGAGTAGCCAGACCTGGTTGGGACTTTGACAGTTTCAATTAACAGGCCAATTTGAAGTGATTTGAACTGTAGAGTGGATGCATCACAAATTGGTACTATTGAGAGTACCTGGAACAGTAAAGTTTCTTGTTCTGATAATGATACTTGGATGTATTCTTGTTATTTGAGAATATTATAAAACAGATACTACAAGCCTATTTAGTATCCCAGACAGAATGCATTGTTACCCTTATGTACAATGTGCTAGGCTAATAATGCTGACAACTGAAAAATGTCGTTTGTATTTGCTGTATTATCTTTAAACCTACTTTCTCCCTTGAAGTTAATACAAGAGTCGAGCTTTGTTCGTGAAGTCAAACCTAGTTGACCTTCATCTGATTTTTTTTTCTTTCATGCTGGTTTGGTTCTTATGTTCAGGGCTTATCTATTCTGGCACATTTTGTTGCCAAAACCTGCCTTTTGGCATCAAAACAGTGAGTGTGTTTACACTGCAATGTGACTTTTGTTGGGAAAAACACTGTTTGGCAACACAAAAACTTAGTCCCATGAGAGACTTTTCTCTTCCCCTCACTTTCCTGTCATTAAAAAGCCAGTGTGGACTCTGCTGTTTGTTTTGTCAAGAGAACTGGTTTCTACCAGTATCCCACAATACCTACCCTAATGGCTGTTTTCAGTGTTTTGTGCCCTCTGCTGCCCTGCAGGCATGCACCCCATCCCTTTCAAAGCTCCAGGAAGTATCTGATAGCTGAGTGAGCTGCTCTGTTTAGGGAATAAACAAAAAGAGCAAATCATTATTAGAATGCTCTCCTTCTGCCCTGCTAGAAACACAGCAGCAAACAAACTGCTGCTTCGGGGGAGGGCTGGAGAGACTCTTGTGCTGCTTTGATATTTCCTTGGCATGGAGAGCTCACAGAGCTATGAAGGAATCCTAAGAAGCTCAGGGATCAGATTTGCCTTCCCACAACACTGCACTGTGGGATGTTTATCCACATTGCTTTCCTCTATCTGTCAACAGGGTGCTAGCAGCGTGGCCATGAAATGTCAACAATGGGAAGCAGAAAACCTGGTGTCATCAGTTTTCACTTTTGGCGACTTTTGCATGTCAATAGAACTTTTGTCACCAAACCTTCCCAGTGTAGACATAGCCCCAGCTGCAGATCCCCTAAGAGTTCTGCTTCTGAACAGAGCCAGCTGTGTCAGGGGAAAACAGTAGCTTGGCAGAAATAATACTTTTAATAGAAGAGGACAATCCTTTTATTTCCGACTTTCACCCACACCAAAATTCCTAGCTACTCCTAGTTGCTAATGGAGCAAATTCCTGGATTAGGAAAATCCCTTGTGCCCTTGGTACCATCTGGTACTCTGACACTTGGGCTACGTCTACACTGGCCCCTTTTCCGGAAGGGGCATGTTAATTTCAGAAGCCGTAATAGGGAAATCCGCGGGGGATTTAAATATCCCCCGTGGCATTTAAATAAAAATGTCCGCCGCTTTTTTCCGGCTTTTAAAAAAGCCGGAAAAGAGCGTCTACACTGGCCCCGATCCTCCGGAAAAAGCGCCCTTTTCCGGAGATCCTTATTCCTACTCCAAAGTAGCCAGTATGATTCCGGAAAAGCGCTTTTTCTGGAGGATCGGGGCCAGTGTAGATGCTCTTTTCCGGCTTTTTTAAAAGCCGGAAAAAAGCGGCGGACATTTTTATTTAAATGCCGCGGGGGATATTTAAATCCCCCGCGGATTTCCCTATTACGGCTTCTGAAAATAACATGCCCCTTCCGGAAAAGGGGCCAGTGTAGACGTAGCCTTGCACTGTGTCTTCAGAAGAGGCCCTGAGGAACTTCACTTGAAAATAGCTTCTCTGAGTAGCTGCTGTTTTCTGCAGGTCACCCAGAGTGCTATTGTTCAAAGCTTGTACGACCCCCTTCCATTCCCTTTTGTTTGTTCTGTTATGGTTTCTTCCAGTAGTACATCATCGCTGGTTGCAAAGTAACAGAACATATAATCACCAAAAAATAATGTTTGATAAAATTTCTAATAATTCACTTGAAGAACTACTTTCCCTGACTGCTAATGAGGGATGAGATCAGACTAACATTGCACACACATTTGTGGGGGAGTTTTATTAATTAAGTGTTGTTATTCTTTCAATAGAACTCTATTGGTTATGTATCTGTAATTGATCAATATTTTTCTAGCTGTAGGACATGCTATTTTGTGGTAGCTAATAGGAAGCTTGCTTCATATGTCCATTCAACTGAAAGGCGAATTAAAACTACTTAAGCTTAGACCTTTCTCTCTAGTAAATAGAATATAAGATGCCTTCCTCACTACCAAAGGGCAAAAATGGTGGTGTGTGTGTGTGTGTGTGTGTGAGAAAGAAACAAGAATTTTGAGTCATTATGGGAAGGACAGTAATTTCATGTAGAAAATAAATGATCATCTCAAGACAAATTACCCTTTTGGGTTCAGCACAGTAAATATCCACTTGCTATCCGTGACCTTATGTGACCCATTTTTTCTCTAGCATTTGACATGTGTGAAGATGATGGTATTTCTTCTTCTAGCTGATGTATTTTTATTTGGAGCCAATCCATAAACCCTTTTGGTCTCTATTAACGTCTTGTTGCTCTCTATTGCTAGTAGGAATCTGGTGTCACGTTAAAGACACACAAATTTATTGGGAGTATTAGAGCTTTTGTGAGCTACAACTCATTTATCAAATCCGATGCTGAAGAGGAAAAGACAGAAAGGAGGGTAAAAGGACACACATGAGAATGTGACAACATTGCTAATTAAATCAGAATGGATGTGGCTTGTCTCCAACAGTGGTGAGAAGGTGCAAATACCTGAATGGAAAATTACCTATTATTATGGGAGAACCACTCCATGGCTACCTGCAGAAGAGCAAATGCAAATAAAGCACTTGTTTGCATATGTCAACCTCTCATTTGTATTTCCTCTTCCTTTCTCTTTTGCGCAAGAGGTTTTTGTGCAAAAAAGCTGTGTAGACGGCACCTTTTGTGCAAAAGCCGTTCTAAAGGAAGAACGGCTCTTGTGCAAAAGGAGGATTTTGTGCAAAAAGACACCGTCTACACAGCTTTTTTGTGCAAAAACCTCTTGCACAAAAGGGAAAGGAAAGAAATGCAAATGAGGGTGACACATGCAAATGAGCACTTCATTTGCATTTGTTCTTCCACAGGAGGCTCATAGCGTAGACATAATCCTCCTGTTAACCTTAACCAAGATTTTAAGTAATCAAATTTGCATATGAATTCCAGCTCAGCAGTAGATAGAAAAACTTCAAAAACAGATTGCAGAAAGAATCTCCACCCCCAAGCTGCAATTCGTATGCAAATTTTACACCCTGAACCAAGGTTCTTCCATTACAATAGATAATTTCTCATTCAGGGAAATTCTCATTTAATTAGAACTGTCGTCACAGTCCCATCTTTGTATCTTTTTTTCCTTTGTCTGTCCTCCTTCTCTTCAGCATCTAAGGAAGTGAGTTGTAGTTCATGAAAACTTATGCCTAATACCCTCCCCCCCCAATAAATGTATCAGGGGGCAGCCATATTAGTCTGTAACTTTAAAAACAAGTAGTCTTGTGGCACTAACAAAAATGGTGGAGGGATACTCCAACCAAGCTGGAGCCGTCCCCTACATGGGATCCCTTTCAGTTGGTTAACCAGGTAAATGTTAGGTTAACCTAATGTTTAACTGGTTACCTGGTTTAAATAGAATTTTACATCTCTATTCTGCATGCTGTGAACATTAGTGTGCCCTAATACTCTGATATAATACTCAAACTACAACAAGGTATAACACATACTCTTTATCCTAGAGGAGGGATTTTTGTTATGCAGAGGGACATGATATCCTGGGAAGAGCTTTTTAAAATACCTTTTGCCACCCTCATCCATGTTCGCAGTTGATGCTCTTGTGAAAGGGATGGGATGGTAAGAATTACTGTTCATACCATGTGATTGTTTTGTAAATTTGGCTTTTAAATGGTTTAATAGACTGTCACTTTTTTCCTTAAAATACCAATCCATAAAATTGACTAAATACCTTGCTTCCTTGTAGTGTGGTTTCTTCAAGAGAAGTAAGAAAAATCATTATGATGCCACATATCACAAGGCTGAGATCCATACTCAGCCATCTGATAAAGAGAGGCTTACTTCTGATGCATAGTATTGATCTACTTCTGTAATTGGTAATTGATCAGTATTTTTTAATTTCTAGTTGTGGGACATGCTATATGGTTGTGGTGGCTAACAATGGGAAGCTTGCTGCATATGTTCCATTAACTGCTGGGTTTCAAAATGTCAATATCTGCTTGCTTACTCTGTTTATAATCTTAACTTTTTTTCAGTGCATGAGGTGACACACACAGGCTCTCACATATTATTTAAAATGTGTTTTGTCGTGTGTGTTTCAACAAAAAATCCTACAAAAAAATCTATAGTGGAATTTTCCACACTAAAGAAATAACTTAGTATACAAATACTAGACAATTTTCAAACTCTACACATGGTAATCACATGGGGTAGAGTTTTAAGATGTACAATGAAGTTTATTTCGTTTTATGCTAGTATTTTGGCTTTATGCTAGTGTTTCCTAATTTTTGGATGTTACATAAATCGCTTTATTAATCGCTTATGCATGCTACAGGCCTTGTGCTACTCATGATGAAAAAGTGTTTCTTTATAATTATTTTTAATTGATAAAGCTTTAATAATTTTGTTTAGTTCTTAAAACTCTTCAGTGATCTGAGCATGTGCTTTTTTTCCCCTCCTGAAACCTGCCAGATATTTTATGCTTTTAGTAAATTTTGCTCAGATTTGGAAATCATAAATATGGTATATCTTAATTGATGATGCTTGGGGATCTAGCTAAAATCTATCAACAATGAAAGGGTAGATAAAAGAGATGAACTTAAACCAAACCTCTGAGACACTTCAGACACTGGACAACTAAATACCTGAATACTGGTCTCAACTTTTTCTGCTACTATTTATTGTTTTTAAAGTTAACATTGTTTTTCAATGCTATATAATTAAAGAGCAGTATTTCTTACAAGTTTACTTAAATTCAGTTTCCTAATGCATTCTGCTCAGGAAGCTTTTTTAATAAACACTCACTACTCTGTTTGTGTATCACTTACTCTTGCAGACCATGATCCTGCAAAACCATTCTCATATGCTTAACTTTCCATAGGGAATAGTCCTTCTGAAGTCAAGTTTAAGTGTGGGCCTATAGAATTTTGGAAGTGCTGGGCTCTAATGGCAAACTGTTCCCTCAGAGCTTCTGTCAGTCCATTTTAACATTTCCCACTCGGACTTTGACTCTGCAATCTTGAGCCCTTTTATTAATCAAAATAGAGCTCCCTCAGGGTGAGTCTCTTAGCATGAAATAAGCTGTATTTTAGCTTGAAATAAGCTACACACTTTGAGCTATGCAAATTGTGTAGCTTATTTAGAGTTAATTTTGAAATTTATTTTGTAATTTGGCTCTGTCTACACAGCACTGAATTTTGAAATAAACTGCTATTGCGAAACATCTCTTAATGCTCATGGAATGAGGTTTGCAGGGATGTCAGAATAGCAAGCCCATTATATTTCAAAATAACAGATTTGTTTCAAAGATGCAGAATAACTATTTTTGGCTATAGACACCCTTAGAGACGTGGAAGATATTTAAAAAATAAAAGAAGCTAGATATATACTACAAAGATTATCAGAGATCATATCCAAGTTCTACATCAGTCTGATGGGTATCAGTCCTTCCCATCCTGTCTAATAGCCATCGATGGACCTAGCCTCCATGAATTTAACAGGTTCAAACAAGAACTAGATAAAGTCTGGGGCCTTCACCACATCCTCTGGCATGGATTTGCACAGGTTGACTGTGCGCTGTGTGAAGAAAAACTTCCTTTTGTTTGTTTTAAACCTGCTATCTATTAATTTCATTTGCTGACCACCAGTTCTTATGTTATGGAAACATGTAAATAATAACTTTTCCTTATTTACTTTAACACCAGTCATGATTTTATAGACCTCTATCATATCCCTGCCTAGTCTTCTCTTTTCTAAGATGAAGAGTCCCAGTCTTTTTAATCTTGCTTCATATGGGACCCATTCCAAACATCTAATAATTATTGCCCTTATCTGAACCTTTTCTAATGCCAATATATCTTTTTTTGAGATAAGGCGACCACATCTGTATGCAGTCTTCAAGATGTGTGCATACCATGGTTTTATATAGAGGCAATAAGATATTCTCTGTCTTATCTATCCCTTTTTAAAACATTCCTAACGTTGTTTGCTTTTTTGACGGCTGCTGCACATTGAGTGGATGTTTTCAGAGAACTATCCACAACGACTCCAAGATCTCTCTCTTTCTCTCTAGTAGTTGTAACTAAATTAGTCCCCATCATATTGTATGTATAATAACTAGGATTATTTTTTCCAATGTGCATTACTTTACATTCATCAATATTAATTGTCATTTGCCAATTTGTTGCCCGATCACTGAGTTTGGTGAGATCTTTTTGAAGCTCTTCACAGTCTGATTTGGTCTTAACTATCCATTGAGTATTATGTGCAGATTTTGCCACCTCACAGTTTACCCCTTTCTCCAGATCATTTATAAATAGGTTGAATAGGATTAGTCCCAGTATGGACTCTTGGGGACACCACTAATTACCTCTCTCCATTCAGAAAACTTCCCGTTTATTCCTACCGTTTGTTTCCTGTCTTTTAACCAGTTATCAATCCATGAGAGGATCATCATCTTATTCCAGGACTATTTACTTTGCTTAAGAGTCTTTGGTGAGGGACCTTGTCAAATGCTTTCTGGAAATCTAAATACACTATATCCAGTGGATCCCCCTTGTCCACATGTTTGTGGCTCCCCTTCCCCTCCAAAGAGCTCTAGTAGATTAGTAAGGCATTATTTCCCTTTAATGTTGGCTTTCGCCCAACAAATTATATTCATCTAGGTCTGACAATTTTATTTTTTACTATGGTTTCATTTAATTTGCCCAGTGCTGATGTTAGACTTACCGGTTTATAATTGCCAGGATCACCTCCACAGCCCTTTTTAAATATTGGCGTCACATTAGCTAACCTCTAGCCTAGTCATTAGGTACTGAAGCTAGTTTAAAAGATAGGTTACAAATCAGAGTTATTAGTTCCGTAACTTCAAATTTCCATTTTCAGAATTCTTGAGTAAATGCCTTCTGGTCCCAGCGACTTGTTACTGTTAAGTTTATCAAGGTCTTCCAAAGTCTTCCCTAATGACACCTCAAATCTGGAATGATTCCTCAGACCAGTCACCCAAAAAGAATGGCTCAAGTTTGGGAATCTCCCCAACATCCTAAGCTGTGAAGACCGAAACAAAGAATTCATTCATTGTGTCTCTGCAACGACTATCATCTTTGAGTGCTCCTTTAGCAGCGTGATTGTCCAGGGGCCCCACTGGTTCTTTAGCAAGCTTTTTTTAAGTACATCAGAAGCAGGACATTTTGTTATTACTTTTGAGTTTTTAGCTAGCGGCTCTTCAAATTCCTTTTTGGCTTTTCTTACTACATTTTTTACACTTATCTTGACAGAGTTTTATGTTCCTATCTATTTTCCTCACTAGGATTTAACTTCTACTTTTAATCAATATCTTTATCTCACTGCTTCTTTTACTTGGTTAAGCCAAGCCACAGTGGCACTTTTTGGTTTTCTTATTGTGTTTTTTAATTTGGGGTATACATTTAAGTTGGGCCTCTATTATGGTTTCTCTGAAAAGTTTCCATGGAGCTTGCAGGGATTTTACTTTAGTCACTGTACCTTTTAATTTCTGTTTAACTAACCTCCTCACTTTTGTGTAGTTTCCCTTTCTGAAATTAAATGCCACAGTGTTGAGCTGCTGAGGTGTTTTTCCCAGCACAGGGATGTGAAACTTTATTACATTATGGTCACTATTTCCAAGTGGATCAGTGATATTTACATCTGGGACTAAATACTGAACTCCACTTAGGACTAAATCAAGAAATGCCTCTCCCCTTTTAGGTTCCAGAACTAGCTGCTCCAAGAAGCAGTCATTTTAAAGTATCAAGAAATTTTCTTTCTGCATCCCATCCTGAGGTGTTGTGCACCCAGTCAATTATGGGGACAGTTGAAATTCCACGCTATTATTGAATTTATTTTGATAGCCTCTCTAATTTCCCTTAGCATTTCATTGTCACTATCCTGATCAGGTGGTTGATAATATATCCCTACTGCTACATTCTTATTGTTAGCTTGGGTGCAGCCCCTGACATTTTTCTCTGGGTCAGTGGTTTCCCACCCTGTGCTAAATCAGCCCCTGGGGAGATCAATTGGTGCAGTGCTGATCTCCTGGTAAGTGTAAACCTGCCCCTAGTTAGGTTGAATTAACTGCCAGTGTAGGATGCAGCTAGGTCAATGAAAAAATTCTTTCATCTAATTGTCTATCACTGCTCAGAGAGGTGGAATGACTACAATGGAAAAAAAAAATCTTTCCATCAATGCAGTAAGTACTTCCCTACAGTGTGAATAAAGCACAGCTGCAGCAGAATCACATTCACTAGTAGCTCAGAAGTCAACAGGAATTAATGCACCCCAGAGCAGGCCTGTGAATCTTAAAAACAAACTTACAGAACTAATGGAAATAATTTGTTTTACACTCTTAAATTGTTGAAATACTGGATTGTGCTGCTTGCTTTCAGCTGCTGCTGATACAGTTGCAATGTATAGACTGTCACAGCTGTGTATACTTGGTTATGCATTTTTAAAAAACTTTTAGCTGCCCACTTATTGCTTCTTTCTTGAGAGAAGCCAGTCCCTTTGTATTAATGAATACAAAGAACTTTAGACCTTTATGCCTTCAGTACTTTGTAATTTAACCCTAAATTGTTCCCTTTCCCAGTGTGGGTTCTTCCAGCGCTCCAGGTACGATGACAGTGTCCCCCGCTATCATGCAGTAAGAATTCGGAAAGAGGAGCGACAGATCAAAGATGGGAAACATAAAGAGACTCTTGAAAAAAAACAATGGATTACAAAATGGAATGAAAATGAAAGTTACTCCTAGGGAAAGTTTCCCCTTCAACTCCAAGTTCAGACAGACTAACATTTCATTAATGGACTCAGACTTACATACAATATGGACCTATATTTTTGATTGTACATATTTTTTTTACTTATATCGAAGCTTTTTTTTTGCACAGCTAAATTTAAGACTGATTTGCATTATTTAAACTTTATTGTCATAAAAAGGAAAACTTGCATTTATAGAATGGTGCATTCTATGAAATATGAACATGTGTGTAATGATGCCACAAAAGGTCCTTTCCTGCATTCCTGAAATCAATGGATGCATAAGGAATGCAGGATATAGTCCTAAATATATTCTTTAAACCTTCATCAAAATATACAATTAAACACACTGTAGTCTTGATACGCTTTATTCATGTACAATTTGGGGATCTGCAAATGTGCTATTGTTATAAGACTTTTGCAGTTATAGTAGTTAGGGGTAAACCTAAAATGTCTTAAATGTGCAATAGATCATGTTACATTTCTAATTTCAGTTTTGGTGAATCTTATGTCAAATATACACAGGTTTAAAAAAAAAGCTTAAATATTATTTGTATGTTTTTGTATATATTTTAGTCATTTATATTTATTTTTTAAAAAATATTTGCAACATTTGTCTTTGACTAATTAGGCCAAAGAGACTTAAGTGAACCTTAAAACTTGTATGGATGTTCTTAACTAGTATATGAAAGTCCAGTTAGATAGACAAGAAGCATTGACTGTATTTAATTAGCTCCTAACGAGTGCCACTGCTTTTTCTAAATTATAACTTTCAAATCACTGACAACCTTGAAATGTAAACATTCATTCCATTTGTTTGTGAGAGCATTTTTTCTTGTTTCTGTTTATGCAGTGGAATTTAAGAAAGATGTTGACAAATTGGAGAGAATTCAGAGAGCGCAAAAAAAAATAAAAATAAAAGTTAAGCCATAAGGAAAAGGTTTAAACAAAACAAAACCCTGAGCATGTATTTAGTCTTGAGAAAATAAGATTGAAGGGGAAAAGGAGAATCAGAGAAGTCTTAAAAAATGTTAAGGGCTGTTATGAAGAGAACTGTGATTAATGGTTCTGCGCTCTGTGAACTGCCTTCAGAGACCAATGGACAGCAAGGGGAGTTTTTATAAGCGTCTAAATGAGCTTACGGAAGCCCATCAATAAGAAATTTTAAGAACAGGTTGGACAAACACCTGTCTGGCATGCTCTAGGCTAGGTTTTACTTGGTCCTGCCTAACAGAAAAAGGCTAGACTGGAGGGATTCTTGAGACCCCTTGCAGTTTTGCATTTCTAGGACTAATTATGCTCCTGTAACAACTTGTGTATTAATTGAGAAGGAGTTTTAGAATTTTCTTTTGTACATGCAATCTGTATGCTTTTCTATATACTTTATACAAAAAGTGAAAGGTGCTTCTGGAAACAATTTTCGTATTTACAGAACAGTCTACTACTGCAAATGTTGTATAGCACTTGAAAGAAAACATAAGCTCCCATCTGCACTGATCCCTTTTGAGACTACTGAGTGATGTCCTAAATATATATAAATATTAATTGTCAGAATAGTGCCACAATATTGTGCTGTTTAGTAATCTAAATGTTGTAACATAACTGATAGAGCTATTTAAAGAGGAGTTATGGAGTTTTAAAACCTACATTCTAAAGTGTTGGTACTATTTAAATGAGAATTAAGATTTCTTATTCCATATGAAAAATTCTAATTGTGTAAATACTTTTTTTAAGAAAAGGAATGAGAACTATGCAAAAATTTGTTAATTTTCTTTACTAAGCTGCTAGTTTTCACCTTTCCTCGGAAGTCCATTGTTCTAATGCAAGAATGGTCACCAATTAATAATGGGTAGATTTTATTTTTTACTGCTATTCATTTTGAAGCTTTTTTCTTTAAAGATATATTTTAGAAGCTGTATTCTTTTACTTCAATGTTAACATGTCCCATATGAATTTTCCTACCATCATACTTCCAAAATGACATTGTAATCCATGTTTTGCAAACACTTGTGTGTACATAGCTGTTTACTGTTTTTGGGTCTTTACTTATCAGTTAGTATCCCTAAATGAAAACCACAGCTCCTTTGCTGAATGGCTCAAAACCCAAGAAATGAGGCTCATCAGTTGCTGAGAAGTGGGAATTTTGAGACTACTGAAACAAAACATATGGTTTGTTCTGGGGCACCGCCTTTTATAAGAGCAAAATAAACAAGTCAAATTTAAGACTGTTGAAAATATCATCTTGAGTCAGGTCACTGGTATACAGGTTCTCGCATACATACAGCTACTAATACTAAATCATTCCAGGAATAGAAGTTACCTGTGGATATTTGTTTAAAAGTCTGAAATAAAATTTTTTTAGTGAAAAAACATAATGGCTTTGTATTACTGGCATATTTCTTACGACGACAAGTTTGTTTTATCAGAGTGACTTGTTGAATTACACAGCTTACAGAAACTCAGTTGCTAATGCTTTAAGTGGTGCTTAAATTTCACAGGTCACCAATGTCTGTTAAAACTAGTCTGCTCTGTATATAATTCAGCGTGAATTAAAATGAGAACAATATAGGATGACCTATTTAATTTAAACTATTTTTATTTATATATAAATAAAATTGGAAGGATATACATGCTACATTTAGATGTAAATTGCCAAATCTTGTTGGCCTCTCTGATGCAGGTAGTCTGAGATAGTTGAAATAAGCTGCACTTTGACTTCCTTTAGTCCAGTACCACTCACAATTCTGTGGCATGAATTATCCCCTTTGTCACAGCAATTTGCTGAGGTGGACTGTCCTTGCCCCTTGCACAACTGCTGCCTCTCCTGGAGCAGTCTGTGGCAGTTCACTTTGCTCCTAGCCATTGCTTTGCTAACTAAGATGTTTTAGGGCAGTAGTTGAGCTTTTAATATTTCTTCCTCCTCCCTCATGTAACTTTATACAAAAGGTAGGTAAGTCAATTTACTTACCATTTCTGTTGTACAGAATTCCTTTGACTTAAAGTACTTGCACAAATCATGAATTCCTATCCTTGCCAGGGACTACAGCTGGCTTTTCTATAGGAACTCTCTAAATAGAAACAACTTTTGCTTTCTCTCTCTCCTTAGGAATCCAGTACCAGCTTTTTACCCATAAGATAGCCACAGGCATGTGCACACACAATAGTTTCAAAATCCTTTTTATGAATAACACTCCAAAGATAAACCATTACAGCCCAGCAGTTATTTTCCTAAAGAATACAGCAGAAAATAAATAAATACTGTTATAGGGATTGGGACCAATGTTCTCTTTAAGTTTTTCCATCCATGAGCAGAGTGAGGTTGGGCAGGTGCGCTTCCCTGCCACTGTGGTGCCTTCCAGTTACTAACAAAAATTGTAGATATATTTAAAGTGTTATGGAAGAAGAAGCAATGGATAATTAACAAGGTACCTACCCACTGACTCCCCCTACCAGCTTAATGTTTCAACCTTCTCTTAACTACAAGATCAGATCTAGGGTGAGGTAGCCAGTTGGTGGAGGCAGGCTCCATAGCTCCACTAATGAGGTGGATGGATCTTAATTACTTCCTACAGAGCTGCACACTTTACAGGGAGCTCTGATTGGGACTTCTGACTAGGGATGTAACATTCTATTTAATCAGTTAACAGGTTACATGTTACAGTTAACTGCTTAAATGGGATCCCAGGAGTGGGGTGCCCAGTTGGCTGTAGCAGCCCCAACCAGGATGTGATGGGCGTAGTCCAGCTGAAGCAGCCTCAGCAATGGCAGGGAGTTGCTTGGGCTGAGCCTATTGTACCACATGGCGGGTGAGGGGCTCTTTTGGCCAGGAGCGCCCTCAGCCCATGGTACAGCGGGCCTGCCTGGGCTGGAGCAGCCCCTGGCTGGGTCACCAGTTAACCAGTAACCGAAAAGCATCACCTGGTAAGGGTGATCTTACCAGTGACATCCCTACTTCTGACAAATCAGAGATCTTCTGCTTCACATAGTAACCAGGGTATTATACTGACAGTTTGTCAAAATATTTACTGCTATTAACATAACTGGTTATTTCAGCATCCTCACTACTGAACACATACATAAGAAAGAAAAAAAATATCCACACAATAGTGACTGTAGCCAGGGGCTCACACACTGTCTTTGATTCAATGATGTAAAACACTACATATTTGGCCTCCATTCTGGAATTCTTCTCTTAGGCTGCGTCTAGACTGGCATGATTTTCCGGAAATCCTTTTAATGGAAAAAACTTTTCCGTTAAAAGTATTTCCGCAAAAGCATGTCTAGATTGGCAAGTGCCTTTTGCGCAAGAGCAAATCTTTTGCACAAAGCATCCGTGGCCAGTCTAGATGCAATTTTGCGCAAGAAAGCCCTGATTGCCATTTTAGCCATCGGGGCTTTTTTGCACAAAACAATTCTTCCCTGTCTACACTGGCCCTCTTGAGCAAGTATTCTTGCGCAAAAGGCCTTTTTCCTGAGTGGGAGCAGGAAAGTATTTGTGCAAGAAGCATGGATTTTGTACAGTACAAAGTTAGTGCTCTTGTGCAAATTCAAGTGTAGACAGCTGGCCCGTGTAGACAGCTGGCAAGTTTTTGCGCAAAAATGGACACTTTTGCACAAAATCTTGCCAGTCTAGATGCACCCTCTGGGTGTTCACCCATCTCAATCCTCACTGCCTTCTGTAAAACTACAGGAAATTGTACTGAGACCCACTGCCCAGGTTCAGCCTGGCTTACCCCGGCAGCTCTATTTCCTGGCTGTGCTGGATTTGATTGGTGCCCCTCAGAGCACTCAATAGCACTGGGGTCAGCACCCTTTCAGAAGTGGTATGCCAGGATTTAACTTACTTCTATTTATGGGTCCACGTGCCACTGACACTTTTTAAAGTCAACAGTAGTCCTACTTACATTTTAGCAGGTTCATTAATAAATAAGTAAATAAAGATGCAGACCTTGCTTTCCCTTGAGTTCTCTGCTCTCGGGCTCGTAGTTTGATACTTCAAGCAGCGCACAAGCCTCTGTCACCGGCACTGCTCCGCCAGTGATGATGGCTAAAGAACAGCACCCTGAGCCCTTGCCACAGCAGCTCCCCAGCATTCTCATGCCACACAGCCACCCCAGGTCCATTCCCAGCAGCTGCCCCGCAGCCTGCCCCAGGAGCAGCTGTTATGTGGCCGCAGCCCAGCTCCAGTCCTTCCTCAGGGCTGAAGCTGGGGGCGGGGAGGGCCGGCCAGCCAGCCATGTGATGACTTCCCAGCTGTTCTGGGTGGTGGCCCTGGGTGTCTGAGGAGCAGCAGCCACACCGTCCTGGCTTCTGGAGAAGCCCCTGCAGGAGCCCCGTGGTCCTGGGCTCTGGCCACTGGAGGAGCCACTGCTGTGGCCTAGCAGTCTGACTGGCCCTGCGCGTGGGGGAGGGCAGACTGAACTCCCACCACATGCCACCTGAAATTGTCTTGCCTGCCACTTATGTCACACGTGCTGAGGGGTTGCTGACTCCTGAACTAGCACGTGGCCAGCAGCTTCCAACTAAGGGGGACTGTACAGGCAGTCCCCGGGTTACGTACAAGATAGGGACTGTAGGTTTGTTCTTAAGTTGAATCTGTATGTAAGTCGGAACTGGCGTCAGCCGCTGCTGAAACTGATCAGTTTCAATCACGGCTGAATCTGGACGCCAGTTCTGACTTACATACAGATTCAACATACAGATTCAACTTAAGAAACCC